CTGGCGGTGCCCGACCTGGACGCAATGTCGACCAGGCCGTCCGCAAAGGCGCGGATGAGCCGGCGGACCTGTGCGGGCGAGAGCTCTGCCACCTGTTCGCGCAGGCTTTCGTCTCCCTGTTGGAGAAGAAATTGCCAGGCGCTGGCAGCCATTGCGGTGCGGGCGGTCAGGCAAGCAAGGGCAAGCAAGGCGTTGCAAGGTAAAGCGGGGCAGGCAGTGCGGGCGTAAGTTGTGATCAGGCAGGCGGGGCGCAAGCTAGGGCAAGCTGGGAATTCCTAGCAAGGGATGCTTAGCAGCAATGCGGGCATAAAAGATTTGCGCGAGTGATTTAGATCATGCTGGTGTGCACTAGGCGGGCGGCCAAATGTGAGCGTGTGGACTGTGCAAGCTGTGCTGAAGCTGTGCTGAAGCTAGGGCGTGCATGCGTGAGCTGGCGGTCATGCCCCAAACATGTAGCCAAGCAGGCGGCTCGATCTGGCAGGCGGCAGCGAGCAGCAAGGTAAGCTCAAGCAGTGCAGGCGCGCAGGCTGCCAAGAACAAAGCGTCTGGTGCAGGCGTGCAGCAAGGCTGGCAAAGCAAAGCGTGCCAAGCAGGCCTTCGAAGGTGCAGGCGGGCTCCATGACGAGGATCGGAGGTACCTGAGCAAGGGCAGGCGGAGGGCTGGGTCGGGCGGTCCCGCAGGTACAGGCAAAGCTTTAGGCGAAAGCGGCGCAGGCGGGCGCACGCAAAGGCAAAACCAACCTGAACAAGCAAAGCGGGGCAGGCGGCCCGAAAAGCGTTGCAAAAAGAAATGCAGGCGGCTGTCTGAGCAGGCGGCCGGCAAGAAAGCGGAGGTACCTGGCAGAGGGGTGGGCAGGTTAGGGAGTTAGGGTGCAAAGGCAGGCCGTGCGTGAAAAAAAAAATCCGTGTGCATGCCAGGCGGGCAGGCACACGCAAGCAACCATGCAAGGCCCGAACTACCCCTCTGGACTAGGCAGGCGTGTTGTTGCAGGAAGGGCTTGCTGAAGCAAAGTGTCGTCTAAGCGGCTGCTGGTGCATGCGCTATGTGTGAAAAAGCTGCGCATGCGGGTCTGCAGCCGAAAGAGCTACATGAACGGTTGTTGACAATGCGTGCAAGCAACATGCTAGAAAACACCACGACAACATAAAAAGAAAAGGGTTGCGTGGAGCGTTCTCTAGACAGTTCATGTACTCTAGTCAACTGCAGACCGAAGCAAGCAAAACAGGCTGACGCTCTTGTTTTTCACGGGTGCTGCTCAGAGTAAAGGAGTCCGGTCGCGGGCGGGCGACTCAGACCCCCACATCAGACCTGAGCAGTGCCCGTAGGCTGCATGCTTCGGTCTGCAGTTGACTAGAGTACATGAACTGTCTAGAGAACGCGAGCTGTGATGTCCATACAGGGTCCTATGCATTGGAGACTTCCGCCTCGTGCCTCATATTATTAATTTTTGTTATGCCGGAATAGTCGGGAGTTCTTGACGGCTCTGTGGATAAAAGTTTGCTTCTGTGTTGCACACAGTATAACCATGCATGCATCGAGATGTTGACGTCATCCTCCATGTTGGCTCGATGTTACAGCATTTTGAGACCCCTTAGGTCAGCCGCCTGTCACCCCCAAGCCCCCTAAAACCCTCTTCAAATCCAACCCCCTACCCTACCCCGGCCCCGTACCCTCATATCTTGATCCCAGCTCCCCAAAGATATCGTTGCAGGCTCCACCAACCTATATTTGTCCCGAACTGCCCAAACTTGCAATCGTTGTCAATCAACCGCGTTTTTCCTCACCGAAGTCGGGCGTGCTTTTGGTAGCCCCCTAGCGCCCAAAACAAGGCGACAAGGAATCGACTTCGGCCCGCTGCTTTCCCGATCCCAAAGCAAAGTTTTCTCAATTGGGCTCATAGTAGGACCCGGAAACACGTGCAAACTGGCCGGCGGAAAGATGGCGATTCCCCCATTCTGGAAGTCTGTGGAGCCCTGGACGCAGCAGGCCCGGGGTGCGACGGGCTGCAACCTTAAGGCTGTGAGAAGCGACAACCCAAAAAAATGTCGCGACAGAGTTTGTCAAGGGCGGTGCATTCAGTCTGAGAGGCTTGGCAAAACGGGCCGCGGCTGACTGCGGCTTGGCTCAACGCTTATGTGTGTCCTCACAAGCCGCTGCAAGCCTCGCGGATGGGAACCTTCAAAGAGCCCAGCCTCAGACAGTCCCGAGACCTCACTCCAAAATCGGCGCGAGGCCCACCTGCACGTAACGATGCCTTAGATTTGAAACAGCCCCACAGTCCCAGATACAAGCCATTTAAATACAACTGCAAGGTCCCGGCGCATTCACAAATTTTGATGGCGATGGCCAAGCCAATGGATCTGGTTCTGCTTGGGACAATCCTTCAATCCAGGCAGAATTGAGAGCCTTGTATGGTTCAGGGTTTACGGGTTCAGAGTTTAGGACTGTGCATGAGGGTTTGACTCCAAGATAAGGGTGGCACAAGTCCTGTGCGGCCTAGCCTAGAGGAATCAGGGGCAGTTTTGGAGGTTTGTGGCCTTGCACGGGGTCTAGGAGCTCAGGATTTAGTATCGGACCCCACAGAATGACACCGGTCCTGGGTCTGGGGATGTCCGGGGTGTCTTGGCTTGCAAGACTTTTGATGTTGCTGGTGGTTATTCACCGCCGCTCCTGCAGGCTCGTTCGCGCTCCTCTCTGCTTCCAGATAGCGCTGCCGATGGAGGTCTCTTAAACGATTCGATTCCGATACCAGGGATCCCTGAGACTTGGATCGAGAGGTTCTGGGCGCCCGGCAACCCTAGTTATGTTAACTTGAGGGGGCCCCAACCAAGTGAAGGCCTTAGTCGAGTGCTTGTGTGCGGGTGTCGGTCCATCTGAGTGGGCAGGTACCTGCTGTTGTGCAACTGTTCCAAGATCGCATTGGTTTCCCAGCCCCGGATCCAGAAGCTTGGGTTTGTAGGTTGCCCCTTCCTAAGAAGCTTGCGGCTTTTGGCCTACAGGAATACAGGACGGTTCATGAAAAGCTTAACGGTTGAAGAACTGTTGCTTCATTAAAAAATCCTTATGTATCAGAACCCAAAGCTCCCGAGCTTCGAGAATAATTGTCAATTCAATCTTCTATGTCAGTGGAGTCGGGTGTCAGGCATTTAGCTCTTTTTGGGTTTAAGGGGTTGCAGCCGAGGAGTTTGCCATCCAAACGGATCCTTGATCTCCTGAGCCGGCTCTTATGCTGAAGACTCCCGATGGCTTGACTATTCGACGATTGAGTTGTGCCTTGGCGAGTCATTTTCCTCCCTCTTTGTCAACTGCCAAGCAACAAGAGCCCTTCAGGGAAACGATGTTTGTTGGTGGGACGTGGTTTTTGTGTTGCTGTGCTAGTGTGGTAGCTGCTTTGTTGGTCGTGGTGCAGCAGGATTGCCAGTGCGGCAGTGGTGCCTGTCTTTGCTGCTTTGGGCGTCGTTGGAGTAGGGAAATCTTCCTAGTGACACATTGAGTGATGCCTAGTACTCGAGATGAGATTGCTGCTGCTGCTGCTGCTGCTGCTGCTGCTGCTGCTGCTGCTGCTGCTGCTGCTGCTGCTACTGCTGCGGCTGCTGACACTGTTGCGGTTGCTTTCGCCGACACTACTGCATCTCCTCCTGTTGTTGCTGTTGAGCTACGGCTACTTGTTGTGTTTCCATTGCAGTCAGGACTGCTTTATTGAACGGTCGCATGTTTTGTAGTTGCGATATTTGGTTTTGCTTTGCTCAATAGTGAAAGTTTGATGATGTCGGCATGGGTAGATGTTGGCAGTCACTACCGGGAGGGGATGACCAACATCAGGATCGTGGGGCGGCTGGTGGTGGTGGTGCACCGATGAAGGTAAACTTGACATTGATACTCGTAGTGATGATGAAAATTTCTGTGGTGATCTCAGCATTGACGTGTACGCTGATGGCTGTGCTCGTGTTTATAGCTTTTGTTGAACTTTTGGTGTATTTGCTGCCACTTCCTTGCATGCCCAGGCTGCTACTCCTGGTCCTCCTCTCTCACAGCTCCTACCCCCGCTGCTCCTACGCCTACTCACTCCTGCTCCTACTGCACTCATTGCCATGATCCGCCTCTAAACCATAAAGGTTCATGACAGGGACATGGAAACCCTGCTGTCCTCCTCCTGCTGCCTACGACGACTACGACGACTGCGACGACTACGACGATGTCGACGGCGACTATGACTATGACGACTGAATACGACAACGACGACATTTACTCAGTACCTGTTGCAATGATGAGTCGTTGGGAGGGGTTTGCAAGTCGTGTGATTGACTGTTTACAGATGACTGTCATGACTGCTGCTGTTGCTGTTGCTAATGCTTGTTTCGGCTGCTGCATGCTTTGAGCACCGAGCACAACCAAGGTGTCATAGAACGGCGCGCCGATGCTACAAAGGCTTACCCGGCAGCACGCACGCTCCGCACGCTCCGCACGCTCCGCACGCTCCGCACGCAGCGCACTCAGCGCGAGCCGCAGCGCGCCGCGGGGGCTGGAAAGGCCGCTCCGTCTCCGTGCGTGTGGCCCTGGCCCAGAGCAGTGCAGAAGGCCAAAGCCCCATGCAAAGGCTCCAGAGCAGCGGATCTCAGCCACTTTGTGTAGATGGCGCTGTGTTGGTGGCAGCTGCTCTCCAGGCACTTTCCCTCTGCAGACCCAGGTCCTGCGAGGCCTGTGCCCGGCAAGGGCCTGGGGCCTCGGGAGCCTCGGCCTAGGGGCCTAGTTTGCAAGATCGTCGCGAGGCGAAGGGGCTCAGGCTCAGCTCCCTCCGCCTCGGCATGGCTTGTGGTGTCAAGCAACATATCGACACACTGTCCGCATGCAGCGCTCTAGTGGGAGAGTGTCGAGCAGAGCTCTGCTGAAGAGCTTGTCCTCAGCCCGCTGCACAGCCATTGCATGCCTGATTCCTTCATGTCGCCTTTCCGTAAGATCCGATTGTTAGAGCTATAGCAGCTGACGGACTTTTGACCGCTTCCCAGCCTGCATTGACCCTGCGATTCTGTACCTGTGCCGAGCGGGCTGGCGTAGCCGTAGCACGGACCCGCCCGAAGTTTCGGCGTATGTCGAACACAGCCCTGTTGCTTGGCCTTCCGGCACCGCTAACTAAGTTTGCAGCAGAATTGAAGATTCCGCAGGCCTGCCTGATCCCCGTTGCGATGATGTTTGCTTGGAAGGATCCTCCGTCATGCCAGAAGCACGTTCCATAGAGAGGGTGCCTGTTCATCGTTCTCTCCCGATTTTCCCTCGACGCACTCGCTTTGTTCAAGGGCAACTTGAGGTGAAGATTTCAGAGCCAAGGCGTACTTAAGATTACCTTGGAGGCTGATCCGAATCTTGCCAGAGGCAAGCAGCTTGCCATGAGGTCCTGCAACAAGACTCCGGTTCTGACTACAGCGTGGCTTCGGCTCAGCTACAGATTGCAGCCTTCACTGGAATCCGTGAAAGGTGGGTTTCGGGCTTCGTTAGCGACGTGCCAGTTGGCTCAAATCTGCAAGCGATCGGTAGCGTCTTCGGAGTGCCAAGCATGCGAATCCACCAGAGCCCAACATGGTCGCTTGGCGGCTATTGCATGGTTCTCACAGCCCGCACAGCTGCAATTGCAGCTCCTGGATCGAGCGTGAACCATGCAAGGCCTGAAGTGCTCACAGGGTTCTACAGGATTCCAGTGGCCTTGATACCTGCCCCATGTTCTAGCACCAAACCTGTCAGATGGATTTGCTTGAGGTTAAAGCTGTCGAGTGCACCTTCAATCAGAGGAATGTCTCACTGATGAGGGACTGAAGGTGATAAGGCACCTTGGCACCTCTAACATTCTTGCCGGATGTGGCTTGCATGTGCAACAGCTGCAACAGCCGTGATGGTCCATGGTCACTCGGAGAACTTCGGTGGGTTCGGCACACGTACCCGTGGGCCTCGTGGGGAGCGTGGAAGGTGCTCGAGATGTGTTCTGGTGGGGAGCCTTCGAGGACCCTTTGTCTGAGGTTGCGGTCGCAGCTTGCTGGTTCGAGGGTTTCGAAAGCTTCGAAGGTCTCTGCCATTCCACTCCGTTCCAACCTGTCTTGTCCATGGATCTCGCCGCACCACGTTTCTTCAAAGCTCGCCTCCGTGGCCAGGGCGGCCAGGGCCATCGCCCCTGCGAAGCTGGGAAGGTTTCTGGGCCCCGTTTCGCGGCCGCCTCGTTCCGAGATCGAGCCCCGGCGCTGATCCGAGCCCCAAGACACAGAAGACACAGGCAGCATCTGAGAGGGCCCTGGCATCTGGGAAAAAGTTACGGGCTTCGGTCGGCTTTGGTGTTGAAAGGAGGTCTTCCAGTAGACCTGGTCTGAGAAGGTGCCTGAGGGCTGGGGGAGGCGAGGCGTGCCATGCCAGGCATGCCGTCAACGCCTCCGTGACCTGCTCCTGCCGTCCCACTGGGCTTCTGAAGTCTGAGCCGGCGTTGGAAGCGGCGTTGACCGTGCCTCTCTCAGACTCGCCCCTGCTTTCCACCGACCCAAAGCCTCGGTCGCCAGGCTTAGGAGGCTTGGGAGGAGCCCCCCCCCGTTCTTTGCGAGTCCTGCGGCAGGGCGAGTGCCAGGTGCTTTGTGGCTTCAAGAATTGCTTTGGCACCGCATAGCAGCATAGCACTAGTCACGACGAAGGTCCCGTTGAGTGAATCGGTGAACCAGGCTTCCAGCAGGGCTTCGTGCGGTTTGCGGTGTACTTGTCGGGGCTCCTTGAAGCGAGCACTGGCAAAGCTCGTGCGTGAGGAGACTGTGACAGAATGCCGGGTCTTCACCGACGAGGGCCCTCTGCTGATTGAGATCTGGTTGGCATCCAGCTTTCAAAGCCTCTTCTCCCGGAGTCCCTTCGCTTGATGCCCTTAAAGGGCAGCAGGGTGCATCGCCTGCAGAAGTTACCAAGCACTGGTAACCAGCTCCGGTTCTTCAACTTCCTCTTGTCTTCCCGAGCCGAGTTTCATCCAGTCTGCGCCTCTCTGCGTGATGTCCGGCCTCGTAACGTAGCAAGTAGCAAGATGAGCCTCGTGGCTGCACATCGCCCGCGCGCAGCGCGCCCGAAAGGGCCCTGAAGCCTTCCAAAGATGTCCTTTTGCCCTTAGTCCGAGGCCTTCTCTCCCAGCTCGACATAAAGCGATGGAAGGAAGCTGCAAGGTTGCCGTTCCCCGTGTCCTTGTGGCCTTGGAGGCACCCTGCGTCCTCCGAAGTCCCAGGAGCCGTGAGAGGCCGTGGCCGTCTTCCCACACCTCCACCCGTAGGCCCACCAAGCACTGTGCACATTGCCCACAGGCGGAGTAGTGTAGGGCAGTGTAGGGCAGTGTGGAACAGTGTGTAGCAGTGTGTGGCAGTGTGCAGGGCTGTAGAGCTAGCTGGCTAGCTCCCTCAAAAGATGTCTCGCATCCTTTCTCAGGAGAGAGCTGCTTGGACACGAGAGGTCTCGATGCAGTTGTCTTTGGTGCAGGTGAGGTCAGCGAGGAGGTCGTGTGGCCAAGGCTTTCTTCCGGCATGTCAATGTGTTGTCTCGCACGTCTTTTGCCTTCGGTAGCGGCTGGCCCGACAGACCCGACAGGCCCGACACCCAGCAACTTCAAGGCGAGTTCTTGGCGCTTGGCTCTCTAGCCAGCTGTGCTGTCTTCTGCGGGCATCTGGCTACGGGCAAAGTAGCCGAAGGCTTCGTGCTGCGACGGGCCATGGTCTGATGGCTGAGGATTTTTCTTCAAGTTGCATAGGCCCCCAGCCCGAGGCAAAGTCCAAGAATCGCTTAGCCTCCCCCTATGACTTCAAAAGCCTTTACCAGGTGCTGGTTCTCCAGGCTCCTTCCCCTGCCCGCGTGGTCGAGCCCTGTGTCTACATTCAGCCGCGGGAACGCCCAGAAGGACAGCGATGGCTTGCTAGAATGCCCGTGCAGAGTTCATTGAGTTGTGGAGTAGCAGCGTAAAGAGCTCCCGTGCGATGGCGATGCGCTGCGAGATACTAGGCCCACTAGCCCTCCCAAAGCCTTCTTGAAGGAGTTGAGGTGTCTGCAGTGCCGCTTTACTTGGGGTTGTGCCAAAAGTCTGATCGGAGCCCACGGGCCCGAAAGGCCTGCGATCGACACGCAGCTTGTCCAAATCCAGGCGGAACCCTGTGGCCGGAAACCCCTGAGCTGCAGGAAGACTTTGAAGCTTGTGTTCTCTTGCTGGATACTCCTGAAAAGCAGCCCGTCGGCTGTTTTGTTAGCGAGCACGGTTGAGCCGCGAGCCCGCCGGGCCTCTGAGAAGATGAGCTCCCTGAAACTGGTCTCGCACAGCCACGGACTCGCACGGAGTCGCAAACAGATTCGCGAGTTTGGGCAATTCGGATGCTGTCTCGAGGTCGACTATGACTGCGACCTCGGCTTCACTTCTCCAGATGGCCAGTTGGGTTGACATCTAGCCAGGCCGGCCTCGTCGCTCAGAAACTTATCCCTATGCCGAGCTCTCCGCTCGTCCGAGCCTACGTGTTGCACACGAGGCCTATATAGGCTGCAGGTAGTTAAGCTTCGGAGCGGTTTGGCTTCTAAGCTTCGGACCACTTCCGTAGCGGGTGTAGCTGATGTTGTGGGTGTATCCGATGCTGAGTTCTGATCTCTGGAAACTTCGATATCTCGGGCCGACGATCACATACGTCCCAGGGCTCGTTTTGAGGCCCGTTCAGAAGGTCTCCCTGCGGGAGCCTGTTCGCCGAAAGAACGTTTGCCGTCGAAGCTCCGAAATATTAGGGGAAACTTCACTGGCATTGTTGGGACGATGCGAAGCAGAGCTCTGAAATAAGCCTGGCATTCCATTAGCATCCATGGCAAAGTGGGCTCTGCTCCGATCCATGGCTGATGTTCAAACCAGACAGGCCTGTGGGAGGGGGCGTCGAAGATAAAGCAAGCCCGGACGCAGTTGCCTGTGCCCTAAACGAGGGGGCGTGATGCTCGAGGACGCAGCTTGACCGAACATCGCAGGACATCTCCAAGCCAGTGGCTCCAGCCCGCCCCAACTTTTCAGGTCCCGGCATCGAGATCGCCTTCCACTGACAAATTCTCTGGTAAAGGGGCGGCCCTAAGGGTGAGGGTGTCTGATTGCAAGCGGCTGGCACGATGGCAGAGAGGCTGCCGGCGTACCTTCAGGTGTGGCTTGGGGACTCCGAACCCGTGAGGTTCATGGCGGATGGCGTCTCTGTCAGGTGCCCTCAGCTCGTGTCGTGGAAGTGTCGGATCCCGGAAGGAAAAATGTCCGACATTTCCCAAACTGTAGATTTCGCCTAATTTCTGCGCACCGGCTGATAGTTCCCTTGAGACAAGCTTTGGGCAGCAGTCGTGAAGGCAACGTGCCCAGGCATGTCCTGCACCCAAGGTTGATGAGAAACCGCATGGTGACAGTCTGGCTCTCAAGATGCAAGCTCTGCGTCGACAAAGCTGAAAATGCGTGTGCGATGCCCGCCATAGCTCGGTGTAAGACATAGCACCGCTCTGTCTCTCTGCACGGCAGCATACTGCCCGGTCGCCTCCACGAAGCCTGAGCGCCTAGCTGGGACAGCAGACTTCTCGCTCACCAACAGGCATGCAAGGAACTGTAGCACTTTCTCTGGATCCCTTCCCAGTGGGGGAAGGACGAGGAGTTCCGTACCCATTCTGCAAAAACCTCACGGGATGCTATTTCTTGTCACTCCGTCACGACGTTTTCTGCTCACCTGTTCTCGCACAGCGTTCCATGCAATTGCGGTAAGAGGTTGGCCTCTGTCCCCAGCGTGCCCTTGTTGAAGGCATCCAGGCATGGAGAACGCACAGTGCTAATGCAGGCACTGCAGAAGCCTACGTGTCTTGGTGCGATCGGCGCTCGCAGTCGCTCTCATGCAGTTGAGAGAACCTGTCGGTTGGGTCTGGAAGAGGCCAGCATCTGCAGTCATGCACGCATATGCACGCTGCCAATGCCCACTCCATTAAGTCTCGGCGAGTCTGTCAATAGGTTCTGCATCAGGCTCGGCCAGAAGCTGCATCAGAAGCTCTGTAAAGTTGGGGGAATGCCACAGACCTTGGTGTTGTCAAAGGCTTCGACCTTAGCCCAATCTTGCAAATTGTTGAATTGCTCGGCATGTTTTTCGCAGTGAGCCCGAGCCCGAATCCTTCCCCCTCTGCAGTGCCCGCTGTGAGTTTCTCGCACGAAGAATGCTGTGTCATTGCTGGACTTCCATGCCAAAAGCACAGAGTCTTTGGTCAAGCAAAGCTTTTGAGCATCTCTCCCACCAAACTCTGCTGGAACCCCACTTTACTAAGCTTGCTTTCTCCTCTCAGCCCGAGCCTCTTTCGCATGCCAGAGGTGGTGTCCGCCTCAGCCTGACCATCAGCGCCGCCAGCACCCGAACTGCCACCCGTCCCAGTCCGCCTTTCATGCGACAGCACCGAGCCCGTTCCGACCAACCAGGTTGGGCGCTGCGACCTCCTAAAAGCAGAGCGATTGCACTGTCAGCCTTGGGCCTCCCGATCTTGAACTTCTCCGCCGAAGGAATCATGTCATTGAAGCTGGAGAGCCCCAATTGAGGTGCCTTCGGCGCCTGTCATCTGATGGGGTGCGACCTCTTTATTTCATCATGAGCTTCCTAGCTACGCAGTTGCAGTCAGGCCAGCCCATGCCTATGCGAGGTTCGTTGGGCAACACGTGGTGTGAAGTGGCTACCTCGCATGTCTTTGCTCGCTGGGTGCATTGCCAGATGTGCAATTGGCGGATCCAGTGCTGTCCAAAGTCTATGAACGAAGGTGCTGTCCACCTATCAGGCATTGCAATGCCCGTGCGTTGATGAAAAGCAACTGTGTGAATGACCTGGCACTGTCTGTTTGGTACACGATGAAGCTGCTGGCATCGCAACTTCACCAGCACATAGAGCTATCAACAGCTGCAGACATTTCTCGCCAGAGTTGCTGTGCAAGTCCCACTTGCTCTTCGCCTTGTGTCATGCTGCAAAACCATACCGCGAGTGTCTGCACAACATAGTGTCTCTAAGTTTATTTTTCAAAAGACGACCCTATCTGGCAGGCATTTGCACTACCAGTGCATTGATGAGAAGCCGAGGGGTGAATGACCTGCCACTATCTGTTTGGTACATGATGAAGTTGTTGGCTTCGCAGCTTCACCAGCGCATGGAGCCATCAACAGCTGCAGCGATTTCTCGCCAGAGTTGCTGCGCAAGTTTCGCTTGCCCTCCGCCTTCTGTCATGTTGCAAGACCAAACCGCGAGGGTCTGCACTTCATAGTCTCTCTAAGTTTAAATGTCAAGAGATGTCACCGATGAAGGTGCAAGCACCCATGAAGGCTCAGCACCCCCAGGTCTCCCCGAAGAAAGGCGGTAGGTCCCCAGTGGCTCCAGTAGCTTCACTTAGAGCCGGCTGCCGAAGCCTGCTCCAAGGCCACCAGCGCACGGAGTCGAGTGAAGGTTGGCCGTCGGCGCCTCTTCCCACGTCCGTCTAAGTCTCCCTGTGAAGAAAGGGCCTCTGAAGGAGGGATCCTGCACCGTGTCCCCTCTCAAAAAGCGCAGCACGCAAAGACCCACCCGCTCCCCCCTCCTTCAGGCGCCTGCACGCATGCAGCTTGTCCAGAGTGAGATCTGCCCTGGTTCCGGGCGTTTGCGGCCAGAACAGACTGCAGTGTGTTTGATTCATGTGATGCTGCTCCACTGTGCCCGAGCTGCCCGAGCTCCAAGGGCTCAACGCAGAGCGCCAGTCCCAACGAAGTGCGCCTTGCCGAAATCTGCATCGTCAAAGCCGTCCTGGCTGGTACAGTTCCGCATCGAGGCATCCTCACGCCTGCCGTCAGAAGGCAACGAAGGCAGCGCGTCCATTGAGCCCAAGAGCGACACCAATTGCAAGGCTCTGCCGGGAGCCTCTTATTCGGGAGCCTCTTGCAGCCTCATGTGCCGTCAAGAAGATGCCGAGACCTGCTCCGAGCCCAGAATTGCAAGCCGCCTGCAGTCCGACGGCATCTTGGCAGAGGCCGTCCAGGACCTTGGTAGCTTCGCCCTCCAGGCCGTCCACTCATGTGAGCCTTAGCCGCATATCTCCGCCTGGCACCCGTTCGTCGCGTTCGTGGTGCGCAGCATGCTCTTTCATGGGCTTTGGTGTCCTTTACAGGCTCTGGAAGGCCTGGAGTTCAATGTGCCTGAGCAAATTGGTAGCGCCTTTTCTTAGCCCGCCTCCCGCGACCTTGAATGGCTCAAGTCTGTCCCGCCTGCTTGGGCTCCACTCGAGAGCTCCGACAAGCCTTTGCCACGGCGAAATGGAAAGTCTTTCAGACAGAGCCCTGATGGCTCAGGCTCGAAAAGCTGTCGGGATGCTATTTTCTGGACCCTCTACTCAGGGGTACTCAGGGTTTGGATTGTCGGACCGAGGAGTGCAGCGGGAGAGGACGAAGCCTTTTGGCAAATGCCTGAAGGCCCTGCACCGCTTCGTCTCCATCTCGCTTTGAGCGCTTCCATCAACAAAAAGCCCCCAGAAACTGACACTCGAGACGCTTGTTTGAAGAATTTTGGTATCCTGCTCTCCTTTCAGGCCACGCAAGCTTTTCCCCGTTCAGTGCCCAACTCGTTGCTTTGGCCTAGCCTTGTAGCTCGCATGTGCCAGTTGTGTCTTCAAGCTTGCCAGGCTCCTGCCTGTGCAGAAGCCGCAGCCGCCGCAGCATAGGTAGCGAGGAAGAGAGGCCAAAGCCTGTTGGCAAGTGTGTGTGAAGACATTGCAATTCTTACTCTCCATCTCTCCTTGCCGAGAGTTTCCATTAACACAAGCTTTGAGCCGGAAACCAACACCCGAGAATTTCGGTATGAACCTCAGTTGCGCCATGCTCTCCGTTGAGGCCACCCAGGCAGTTTTCTGTGGAGAGCCGAACTCCTTGCTTTGGCCAAGTCTTGTAGCTCGCATGTGCCAGTTGTGTCTGCAAGCTTGTCAGGCTCCTGCCCATGCGGAGAGCTGTGCTCGGTAACAAGGAGCAACGCAATCCAGATCAGTCCCGGCTGTGTTTTTCATGCTCACCTGTTCCCAACACTCATCAGCTCCATTCATGGGTGTCCGAATTAGGCTCTCAGACGGCGCCGGGACGCAAAGGCGGAGTGTCGCGTTTTTACAAACGAATGATGCCGGGGCCGCAGGAGCTCGTTTACGAGGAAAGCCTTGCCAGGATTATGACAGCACCTGGCAAGCTTCTAAGCCGCTAAGCCATTGGCGGGGAGAGGTTGCAGTCGCCATGGATGTGTCCTAGCGGATCGTAGCAGATCCTATGTAGATGTACCTCTAGAGTCGGAAGTTTACAATCTAGATGTACATTCCCGGATCAGAGTCCGTCCGAGCAGGTTTCGACTTGCTGTGCTCTCAGAAGCATTTTTGAAGGCTCAGGAGTTAAATCCTCCTACCTTGCCTATAAGGGCATCTACTGCTTGGGTGCCGCATGTCGGGATGCCTTGTGGTGTTTGCCGCAGCACGCCTTGAGCCTCTGTCTCTGCGCAGACAGCTCCTTGGTGGGACGAGGCTTTTCAACGGGATCTTCCTGGTGACTTCGCGGCCGAGTCGTAGCTCACGTGGCTCTTAAGCTGATCCGCCCTGGAGGGATGCCAGAGGTCGCTCGGCGCAGGAGATGTTCTCTCATAGCCCGAGTCCCTGACTCCTGGGCCCCAGGAGTCGAAAAACGGTGTACCATTCACTTTCACCGAGGCGGTGAGCTCCCCGCCGGAATGCCGCAGATAGCCTCGGTAACGTCTGAGAAATTCTGTTCCAGGCCAGGTCCTCTTCGTGTGAATCTCGGTGAAAGCACCCTCAACACGGACATCACATGAGCAGCCGAGTCGGGCTGTATCTGGGCTATGCGCCGCCCGAGGCCCAAAGCCGATCTCTTTTGAGAACTGGTCCCTGCCAGCTACCAGCAGAAAGGTTGAAGATGGATTGAGGAGGTGAAAGCCAGGGAGGTAGCTCTGCTTTCCAAGAACCTTCGAGAGAGAAGCTAAGAAAATGCGCAGTTTGTTGCTGTAAAGGCAGAAGTGACACATTTTAAATCCCTTGGACCCGGCTGCCTGGACATTGCTGCCTCTGTCGCCTGCGTCTAGGAGTTTAGGGCTTCGGTCCCAAGTGAAAGCAGGGTTGAGTCAGGTCAGTCTGGTGGATGGTGCCTAGCGGGCGTAGAACTCCAGCTCCGGATTTAGCCAGGCCCCGGCCAGCAGGGAACCACCCCGAGCCGAGCAATACCGAGCACTGCCGAGGCCAAGGAGCCTCAAAGATCTGCGCTGGCCTCCGAGGGCCGCTTTTGTGAAATGCTTGCGGGTTGCCTTCGGTGCCTGCCCATTGTCAGGATGTTCCCAAACGTTCAAGTTTTGAGGTCCGTCTGAACCTCAGAACACGACGCGCCGGCGTCGCCTGTCATGCTCGTTCCCAGCTTCGGAAGCCTGTCGGAGCCGGAGCCGACTTCACAAAGTCGCGAGGCTGCCGGTGCCAAGCGTCGAAAGCTGCTTTCGGGGCCGGGCCGCCCGACGTGAGCGATGCCTCCTTAATTGCCCCCAGGCCTCAGCTTGCCCCTACTCTGGCCCTTCCAGCCGTGTCGACCTTCGGCAGCTGCAAATCTCCCAAGCCACGAGCCGTGAGCCAACGAGGTTGGGTTGTTCCCGCCTACTTCCGAAGCCTGCCCGTCCTTAACAGACATGCATGACATGGCAGCCTTGGTGGCTCAGGACGGGTGTCACGTGATCTAGGACGCAGCTTGGAGCAGCAAGCATTGCAGCGGGAGCCACCAAGCCTTAGAGCCTGCTCCAACACTTCTCCGACTTGCATCAAAGGCAATCCAAAGTAGCCAAAGCTAAAGGAGGGGATGCTCGGAGCGCTTTGGGCTCCGAGCGTGCTGTGTGTCCTGGGCAGCCTGACGGCCTGACGGATGCCGGCCTCGCCCTCTCTGCGCTTTTCCTCGCAGTGACGGGCTTGCCGCCGAAGCTCAGTGAGAGATTTTCCCCGGACTTCCGAGAAAGCCCGAGGCCCAGGGTCGGCCACTGGATGGCGGCTGCGGCAGCTCCGGGAAAGTTGAAACAAGCCGCTTTCCGCATCCTCCGCTTCCAGCAGTGCAGCAAGGCTTCTGGCATCCAGGAACCCGATGAACCAAGGCAGGTGCACGAAGGCAGGGTGCTTCTGGCGCTTTGCAGCCGCCCGCTCGACGTGGCTCCTTCAACCAGCCCGATCTGCCTTGTTTGAAGGCGCTGGCTCTGGAAGTACAGACCAGCATTCTGCCAGGATGCTTCGTGCGGGGAGTCCCGACTCAGAAGACCGATCCTCCTGGTTTCCCAGCAGTGTCAGCCGCGCCGGCAATAGCAAAAGACGGTCCTCGGCTCTTAGTCTCTCCATGCCGTCCCTTGGTGCAACTTCCCAGGAACTGAGAACAGTGCTCTTGGCTGAGCGCCTCCCCGACAACACGCTGCGTAACTTTGTCACCCATCGCAGCTGCCACCAGCTTGTGCGCAACACTTCCCTCGGGCCCTGTCCCTTTCAAAGTCTGATCTTGCATCTCTTCTTCCTCAGTTTTCCCAGTAGTCGTTCCACTTCCTTCCGCGGCAACCGGCCTCTGGCCTGGCCGGGCACCGGAGCCTCCGCTCTTGCGGCGTGCATCTCCTCCTTCGAAGGAGCATGGCACCTTCCCCGCCGAGCATCCTCGTGTGCACGAGGCTGCCGGAACGGTCGGCGCCCGGTAGACCCCTTCGCCTCCTTCCGCGACCTTAGTCGTCGCATGTCACTGCTCGGCTCTCCGTTAGCCGAGCTTCAGAGCATGGACCTGCCAAACGGCGGCCTTGAAGTTGTGCGAGCCCTCCCCAGATCTTAAGGTCTCCGCACCAGGCTGCGTCTGACGACAGTTTGAGATCTTTAAGGCCCATTTAACGCTATTTTGATCCAGATGCAGCTTCTTTGTGTGGACAAGGGGCCCTGCGTGCCCAGCCGGACTCCCAAGCTCCTCTGACTGTGACCCCGAACCCGTTGCAGCAGGCTTGCTGCGAGTGATCAATCTCCCACCCAGCGCCCGGCCCTGTCCTTAAACTTGCGATCCAACGTCCTCCTTCCATGCGCCGCGTGGAAGGAAGCTGCGACCACGAAAACGGCGGCTGACACAAAGTGTCTCTTGCAGAGCCTTCTTCTGGAGCTGGCTGCGGGAGGCCCTGTGTCCAGAGTTCAGAGACGGAGGGGCCCGGGCCCGGGCTTCAGGTTGACTCCTGTACACGGCTGTGCCTTCAATGTCAGCTTCAAGCTCAAGGGGCGGCCAAGGCAGGACGCTCCCGGTGGAGCTTTGCGGGCTGCTGGCTGTCACAAGGCAACCTCCGTGTCGTCCGAGGTTAGTCTCGCATGCTGTCCTTTTGAAGCTTGAGTCTTGACGTTTCGGACAATGCTCTTGTCAGTAGGCACAGATGTGAGATTCATGCTGACTTGGCCATAGCCACCTTGCCGACTGCAGCGTTGCAAGCGCACTTGGCTGCTCTGAAAAGCTGCATGAAAGCTTCACGAGCAAAGCGCCCCGTTAGATGCACGGGCTGGCACGGTGCAGCACAACTTGTGCGGCCCAGGGTTGATTAGATACGCAGCTAAGCTTCCTCAAAGGCCTTCTGAACAAGGCACTGAAAGCTTCTGCCTTTCCCTCTGAGTTTCTCGCTCTCTACCACACCTGCTCCCGGCGCATCGAAACAACAAGGCCCCTTGTAGCCGAGTGCACCCTCCACGTCGCGAGCCTTGCATCACAAGCTCGAGTGGGCTCCACGGTCATGAAAGCAGCGGCAGAGTGTCGCACATGAGGCAGTGCCAGGTGTTGCAGCCACTTCTTCTTCCCCGAAAGCAGAAGGTTTAATATCGTTAAGCTGGAAGAGCTGCTGCCCGCCATCTGATTCCGCCTCCGGAGGCTGCCATCTGAGGTCTGCGAGCCGTTTGCCAGAAGGGAAGCCCATAGCCTGGGAGCCTCAGAGCCTTCTCTGGGGAACCTCAGAGGAAGACTCTGCCTTCACTGCCTTCACTGTCACCGCTTTCTTGGGATCAGAGGGCTAACCTCA